AAAATCGTATATGATACATGGCAAAAATTCCAAGCATTTTGAAAAAATGCTATCTGTTTTCAAAACACTTCTTCAAAAGGAAACTCTGGATGAACATTTTCCCTTGTTAGCAAAGGTCGCTGATGAGCAGGATGGAATACGCAAATCATGAAGAATACCCGACTTCCAGAGACCTATTAGAGAACGCAATGAAAGGTTCGCTGACTCTGAGAATCAGTGGTATCACAGATTACGCGAGCCTCACCTAGTGGACATCACCAAGGCATCTAATGAACTACAGATGGAACTGATGGAGCTCACAGTAGATGACGTCTTAAAGTCATTGTTTGATGCTAAGAAAGATCCAACTGAAACATGGAAAAATGCAGTAGCATCCCCATGCCTTTGGCAACCTGCTCTCACAATGCCTTCTTGCTTTTCAACCACTTAACTGCTGTGAATCTACATTCTCCTACCTAACCCAGATCAAGATGCCCTTGTAGTTCCAAATGACTGACACCTGTCTAGAGGATCCACTGAAACGGCAGACCTCCGTGCTGCAACCAAATATTCAGCTGCTTCCAACAAAAATTAATGAGCCCTGGGCGGCGCCTGTGGCTCGAAGGAGTAGGATGTTGGCCCCATATACCTGAGGTGGAGGGTTCAAACCCGACCCCGGCCAAAAACTGCAAAAAAAAAAAAGAAAGAAAAAATTAATGAGCCCTTTCAACATGAAAAGGGTCCCTACCCCTGAACTACAATAAGAACAAACTGAACTTAAAGTAGAAGAAAGGAAGTAATAGGAAGATAACCTGAAGAGCCCACGAGCCATTAAAGAATTAGAACCTGCTGTTAAAACCTTACCCATCAAACTCCAGACCCAGATGACGTCTTTGATGAATTCTTCCAAACTTTTAAGGGAAAAATAATACCAATTCTATACAAACTCCTCCAAAAACTTGAAGAGGAGTGATTATTTCCCAATTCATTTTAAGAGGCGAATATTTTATATATATGTGGTCAATTTGCTTTAAATAAAGGAAATTTAGCACAGAAAGGATACTTTCTTCAACAAATGATGCTGGTATGACTGAATATCCATTCATATGCAATCCCTCCCTCTAAAAAGCACCCATTGACGCCAACCTCACACCTTATCTGTGACTTTGTGTTAAGCAAAGATTTCTTAGATACAAACTGAAAGCACGATCCACACAAGAAAAAAAATCAAAAATTCAGACTTTCTGATTTTCATGAGACCCTGTTAGGAGAACAAGAAGACAAGCCACAGACTGGAGGGCAACCCGTGAATCCGCCTCTCTGACAGGAGGTCTGTACGCAGAATGTACACAGAACTCAGGAGCAAGAAAGCAGACACCCAAAAGCAGCAAAAAGGGGGGAAAGATCCCAACACCTTGCTTCATCAAGCAAGCAAGCTACGCAGATAGCAAAACCGGGGCATGAACAGAAGCTCAGCGTCACCGATCTCCAGGGAAGTGCGAATGAAAACCCAAACGAGATACACTACACACCCACTAGGATGGCTAAAGTCAAAAGGCCGACCACGTCAAGCTTTGGTGCAGTGCGGCTGAACTAGCACTCTCAGAGCTGCTGATGGGAATGGAAAACGTTACGATTACCTAGGAAGTGTTTGGAAGGGTCTCAAAAATCTAAAACATCCACCTTTCCTATGATGCAGTTATTCCACTCCCAGGTACTTACGCAAGAGAAATGAAAGGGTTTGTCTTACAAAGACATGCGCACGAATACTCAGCTTTATTCACAGTAGCCCCAAACGGGGGACGGGCCACGGTGATGGGTGAAGTACGGTGTATCATACAACAGAACTCTTCAGTAAAAAGGAATAAACTATTAATCTCTCGAAAATAATTATGCTGAGTGGAAGAAGCCTGATAAAAAGAATATACACTAGAGAGTCATTTCTTACTTTTCACAGTCACTGCGAACACTGAATTAACAAATAGCAAACCATTGCTCCCAGGGGACAGCCAGGTTTAGGTTCCTGAAAGCCGCTGGTTATATTTTTGTCAGTTTATCAATATATAACCTTTTTTTAAAAGACATTTTATTTATATGTGTTTTTGACTCAGTAACATCGAAATCGGCCAACAGACATGCTGAACAAGCTGTATCTAGACACACGTGTGTTCTCTGTAGGGCACAGCCCAGTTTTCTGGCGCTTGGAAACAATGGTTGGGAGCCATGTTAAACAGTAAATCGCCAACAAAGAGCACAAAGATGTGAAAATGCAGGACTAAAATGACAGCGTAAAGGAGACTGGTTTATGGTGCACAGGAGCAGCAAGCAGGCAGAGTGGCGCCCGCTGCCACCTCCTCTAGGAACAGTCATCAGGGTCAGGAGACCCCAAAGGTCGTGCCACTCTGCGCACGTCCACAAATGACTGTGAACGCCAGGAGTGCTGACTTCAGAGTTAGAAACGAAACCTAGTGAGTAGGTAGATTTGCCAACATGGAATCTGTGACTCATGGGGACTGGCTATATATGATTCACTTATAAAAATATAGAGAACACAAACAAATATAGAGTGGAAAAAAAACCGTTGAGTGGTTGCCTGGGGGTGGGAGTCGGGCCCAGAGGGAGGCATAACCGAGAGGCGAGAGACTTCCGAAAGGGGTGAGGGCATTTCATTCCCGCCATTGTGGTGATTATTTCACAGGTACGTGCAGATGCAATAGTTTATCAAATTGGAACTAACTTCCTGCTATTTACTGTGTGTCAAGAACCCCTCAGAAAAGCTGTTATAAAGAAGAAAACACGGATGCCAGCTGGTGGGAAAGGGAGGAGAGACATTTGTGAGGTTTGACTATAAGGAACCAAATGCTGCCTAAGGGGTGAAGGAGTGGGGACCAAGGGACAATGGTGACTTAATGCCACCAAGTTGGTGGTTGGGTTGCTGGTGATGTTATTAGGAGTGGAACCAGGGAATACAGAGGACCCGGTACGATATGGGTGGACTAGAACTCTCCTAGTTGGCTGAGGTTCCTGCCTGGCTGGGAACTCCCTTTCCCACCTCACCTCACAGACATCTCGCAGAGGCTGTCTTGCTAGCTGCACAGCCACAGCAATTCCAGGACTCCCCTACACCAGCTTATCTCCCCAGCTGTCTTACTTTTTCAAAGGCACCACCACCTCTGAGTCCTTCCTCTCTTTTAATCTCTATGTCCAAAGACTTGTCAATTCTTCTGATCACATCCATTGCAAACTTCTTGGTTCAACTTTTAAGACTTTCAAAAAATGTGGTGCCAACTGATCGCATGGTATTTCATTTTCTCTGTCCTGTGCTCTCCTCTTAAATCAGGGCAGTGAGGTCTCCAGCATATTCCTTCATCCTCTAAAACGCAACAGTCCGTCAGAATGTAACCTCTCTGAATTCCTGCAGAGCCAGTACCACCCTGTCTAGTGCTTAATTTCTCTCTAACTTGCAAACGGGAGCTGATTACATATCTTCAATAGCAGCTCATTAACCAAGTAAAGCAAGTAAGGCGCTGTTCTGGTACGATGGGGTAATCAGCGATGAATCAAGACAATGTCTGGGCTCGCATCAAATGCGGAGGGCAGGGGCAACTTCTCCAAGCACAATAATACTAAATTGTAATAATTCAGACGAGACACTCTGGGTGATCAGGGAAAACTTCACCTAGAAATCAACACTTGAACCTGATCGCCAACACTGAGTAGAATATTTATATGTCAAAAAAGAAGAGGGCTTCACAGGTAAAAAAAATAGAAGTTGAAGGAGAGAAACAGAAAATGGCAAAGCTGTGTATTCCGTGCAGGCCAGTGACAGTGCCACCACACCTTAAATCTCATAGTGTTCGGTGTAATAATCGGCAACCTGTCCACACTAAGTAAGTATTTACTGGGTTGAATTAGTTACACTTGATTTTAAATGGTTTCATCTAGATCCAAAGTGAATAATGTGCTGTAAGTGACGTGGAGAGCTGGGTCTTTTATAAGCCTGGGTTAAGTGGCACAAATTTATACCACTAACAGCAGAATTGGAAGGGCAATTTTAAAACAGCTCTAATGGCTTTCTCCCGGCACTGAGCTTATGTAAAGCGGCTGGTGCCGCAGGACCGGGCCCCGATTGCTGGGGTCGTACCTGTGACACAGGAGAAGATAATGCCCTATTTTAATCCCATTAAGTAACATTGTGACATTTATAACCTTTTAAATAAATTACAACAAAGGTGTCCGTTACATCTATATTTAGATACAATCTTATTACACATTAGTTACCCCATTATCAGCTTTGGGATAGCTATTTAATGCAATTTTTACATTATCTGGAATTCTGAAGAAAAACCTTATTTTATTCTGCTAATGTAAAAACAACCAGTGTTCAAAAGAGATTTTTTTGGGGGGTCAGAGTCTCATTTTGTCTCTCTGTGTTGAGTGATGTGGTGTCATGGCTCACATCAACCTCAAACTCTTGTGCTTAGGCAATCCTCTTGCCTCAGCCTCCCGAGTAGCTGGTACCACAGGTACCACCACGATGCCTGACTAGTTTTGCTATTTTTAGTAGAGACGGGCTCTCACTCTTGCTCAGGCTGGTCTGGAACTCCTGAGCTCAAGGGATCTGCCCACCTCAGCCTCCTAGAATGCTAGGATTATAGATGTGAGCCACTGTGCCTGGCCAAAGAGGTGTTTTTTAAAAAAAAATGCTTAGTCCCAAATTTCCAGGCAAAAGCTTTGGAACAAAATTTAAAACCTCAAGAGGTATAATTTTATAGTTACAGAAGCTTCCACATGACACGCTCTTGGTATTCACCTTCCTGCTGTGTTGTGAGTCAGCTCACAATCTGTAGCTAATGTTCATCACCCCAAAAGCTAAGTCACTAGTCTAGCTTTGTACATGACATGGATTATGGGAGAACAAGGAGATCAATTGATCTCACTTGTGTAGGAGACGCACGGTGCAGAAAAGGAACAGGAGATTGCAAACGAAACAGGTCCCCAGCCAAACACTGCCGCCTTACCACTGGAGCTGAAGTCCACGGGCCCGATCCATTTGAAGGCTGGTTTGCGGCCACGTTCCTCCGTCACGTGCACTTTCTTTATCAGAGCCAAGCTGGTCAGAACATTAGCTATATCATAGAGGCGTCGTACCTTGGCTTGGAGATATAAAACAGTTACAGTCATGCTGTCTGTGACACCATTACGTTTTCGTTTGTGTGACAGGTAACTTTTCTCGGCTATCATCAAAACCTCAAGTGGAAAGCAGTGGGGTGGGAAGAGATCAATGACTGCCATGAAATCACCCTGAGTTTTATGTGTTTGTGGCATCTGAGGGCACATACTAAGGGAAGGCTGGTGTGTCACTCCATTTCCCCAACTTCACACCTCTTGCAAGAGGTGCCTGGTGACACGCAGGGAGCACTGAGATGGCAGAGACATCAAGGATGGAAGTGGGCTGTAATTAAAGGCGTAGGAAATGTAATTTTGATACAGCACGTCAAAAGTTTGCTCCACAGGAGACCGTGGCAGTAGCTCCACCAGGCAGCTGGTTTGTGAAAGTGACAAGGATTCCCACAGCGTCCTGCCAGGGTGCACTGCTGAGCACACAGGATGCCCAGGACTCAAGGTCACAAGGTCCGACTGTGCTAAAGACAGGCAGCTCCTCACCTGAAGTCCTGGCATTCTGGCCACTCAATGGGGAGGGATGAGCATCCCCGGAATCCTAAAAAGGTTTTGAGGGAGGCATCGCAAATGCGTGTAGTGGAGAAAAAACTCAGAAAGGGCGGTGACACAATGAACAGGCGGGGTGATGACCATGGTGCATTTTCAATTCAAGAAATCAATGTACAGCTAGGAAGCCTAGCTAAGATCAAGGCTAAGATCAAAAGTTTTGATTATCATCTAGAAACATTATGCATCATCCAGCCCCAGCTCCCTTCTTCCCAATCCTGACAGGGCTGGATTTCATCTGGCCATTTCACCTGCAGGTGGGCTATGATTCCCACTGGAAACAGAAACAGTAGAGAATATTGAGCTCATGACTGCCAGGGGGCTGGGACTGGCCATTAGTAGCCCAGGGCATTTGGCTCAGGATCCAAGCCAGACAGAAGACGATGTACGTGGGCGTGAAGCTCGGGCACTCTCTCTCTGTCCAGCAGCCGTGTCCCACCCCCCTACCCTGGCCAGTCCTCTGGTTCTTACCTTAGACAACTTTCATCTCCACCCTTCAGAAGAGTATGCAGGGGGTGGGGAAAAAAGGGGAAAGAAAACTCAGACATTCTGTCTTGGATACTAAAGAGACACACAAAGTAATTCACACCCTGACTGGCATTCTGGAGACAGCGTTCTGCATCTCACTGTCCGCTTTAACTGTCCAGGGAAGGCATCTGACAGGCTTTAAGAAAATTCTAGTATGTGGCTAACTTACCTCTTACAGCAACAAAAACCTTTCTAAGTGTAGGAAGGAAGACTTGTCTCTATTCATAATTTTTATCTCAGGTATAGGAAATGTCCTCTTTTCTTTGATGTTGATAAGTAGAATTAGTTGAGGATTCTTACTTTTAAATTTACTGTGGTCTGGGGTATCGTGGCCTTCTTCGATCAGTATTTTGGCTGCCACATCCAGAGTAACGATCTTGGTTTTAGAGACGAGGAACAGCATGACAAACTTCTGGCTCATAATTCTCAGGGACTTGTCCTTTCTACTGTTTGCTGATGCTACAGAAGGAATAAAACAAAAGCTTCAAAACACACGACTTTCTACAAGAAAGACTGTACTTGCACTTGCCAGAACTATCCAACTCTACCAGCAGACTGCAAGAGACAGAGTCTCACTCGGTTGTCCTTTGCGTTCTCATAGCTCACAGCAACCTCAGACTCCTGGGCTCAAGTGATCCTCTAGCCTCAGCCTCCTGAGTAGCTGGGACCACAGGGGCCTGCTATTATACCTGGCTAGTTTCTCTATTTTTAGTAGAGACAGGGTCTTGCTCTTGCTCAGGCTGGTCTCAAACTCCTGAGCGCAGGTGATCCTTACCCTTGGCCTCCCCACTGTGCTGGGATTACAGGCGTGAGCCACAGCACCCAGCCAAGACCATCCTTATTACAGGCAGAAAGCTACGGGACACATATCACAAAAGTCAGCTCATAAGGAAGTGAGCCAGATAGATATTCTTGTGGCTCATGAAATGACTCGAGGCATAAACTCCAAAATGCATGTTTGAAAACACTCTCAGTGCTTTCTATTTATACTTCATAGAACCACAAATGCAGATTTTCTAAAGCAACTTCTTAAAAAGACTAATATAAGAAGACAGAGTTGGGACATGCCCTTGTTTTCAGAACATCAACTCTTTCTCAAAGTCAAGAACCCCCGTTTTTGTTTCTCTGTGCCCACAGTATCCAGACTGTACACTAAACACAGCTGGCGCCCACCTCCTGCATTTCTTCTCAGAAATGCGTGAACAAAGTAACTCTACACAAATAGGCTAATTAGATGTGTACTCCCGTGAGGGGCAGGCACACGGTCCCTGAGAGATGGCTGTCTTCTCTGGTTATTGGGATGAGTCCTGGTTCACAGGGTGGAACTAAGAGGCATGAGGCAGTGAATCTCATGAAAATCAGCCCCCCCCCTTCATGTCTATTTCTTGTATTTGCAAGTGGAATGTGAGTGTGATACTTGTACTCCGTCATCTAAGCAATAGAGAAGAAGGTGAGAATGAAGACGCTCCAGGGCTAAAACAAGAGGAAGTTTAACACAGGTTGGGAGGAAGAACAATGCAGATACAAATCAGAACTTCTGCACCAAACAAAAGCAGCAAACATTTTCTATGAATGGGGTTCTTTTCTAAGTATTCTGCTCCAACGTCTAATTAGATAGCTTCTTTGAAAAGCTAACTTCCTCAAATTAAATTTTACTTAAACATCTCACAGAAAGAAAACAGCAGGAGGCTATCAATCTAAAATGGAAGCACTATCAGGAATCTCCAGTCCCAACATGCCAAACACCAGTGAACTGCCGTGTGCAGGTTTCAGCTGAGGTCCAGTGGGCAGCCCAGCTGGGAGCCACCTGTCTCCGGTTCTGCAGTAGACGGGACAAGAGGACGTCTCCCTCAAGGGTTGTCAGCCACTTCCCATCTTAGCAGTGAATCTCTTTAGAGGAAACCACCACTTTCTCTCTGCCATGACTCAGGAGGTTACAATGGACTCACAAGAGGGATAGTCGGGTTCAGAGAAATCCACTAACTGTGGGTCTTGGGCCTCTGGGTAGCCATCTTTCTTCCGTTCTCCAAATTTGTAATCCATCAGATCCAGCTCTTTCTGCTGGAGGAATGCCATCTGCTCTTCATATTTCTGCTCCTCTCCTAGTCTCTGGAGGTTCCTCAGGGTTTTTGGCAGGCTGTGCCGTCCATGCCAGCCATACTGATTCTTGGCCACCCGGCTGACCAGATGCAGTGACTCCAGCACATTCACAATGTCATAGATACGTCTCCTTTCCACACCTGTTTGAAAACAGAAGCCAACAGACTTCATGCAGATGAACATTTTTGAGTATAAATTCCTTGAGGGCCTGGACTGTGTCTGTGAACTACTTTGTATGATGCCCAATGTAATGCCCAGCAAGAGAGACATTTGAAAAGTTCAACCCATACAGATGGAAGCAACAAAAATTATTTTTCCTTTTCCTTCTTGGGATCCAGCCCTCAAAAAGAGGTAGGATAAAACATCCATCTAGAGATGGTGATAGCTCCATCTGTATGATGTAAACGGCACAGCCACTGTTCTTTTGACCTGGTAGGCAAACCACACAAACATTTCAGCATGTTAAAACTGGTGGTACTGAGACCCCTGATGAATGGATGATTGATTTCGATGTGTATTCCTAATTATGTAGACTATAAAATAAACTATGTCCAATAACTCCTACTTATGGAATAATACCATCTTTTCTTGGAATTTGAATAATAATAAAAAATTTACCTTGATAACTCTCCTGATAGCCCAGTAAGGAAAATAGATGGTAAATATTATATTTCCTAGGATGGGTGTGGTGGCTTATGCCTGTAATCCCAGCACTCTGGGATGCCAAGGCAGGTAGATTGCTTGAGCTCAGGAGTTCGAGACCAGCCTGAGGAAGAGCTGAAACTACTAAAAATAGAAAAGACAACCTGGGCATAGTGTCTCAGCTACTTGGGAGGCTGAGGTTAGATCACTTGAACCCAGGAAGTTAAGGTTGTTTTGAGCTACAATGACACCATGGAACTCTACTCAGGGTGACAGAGTGAAAATAAAACATTGTTTCCTATTTTGGACTGGAAACTCAGGCATCAGGGGCTGGAGCACCCTTCTCAAGTTGCTGGAGAAAGCCATCGCCAGGGCTGGAACAAGGAGTTCCCTTTTGTTCAGCATGACCATTGCCAACTCTCTGTGTTCTAATTCACCAAATCCTGCCCACCAGCCCAACCATGAAGCACCAGAGACTCTAGAATAGGTGGACCATGAAATCTATTAGTTTACTTCCCACCTTCCCAACACTCCCCAAATAACTAAGATTATGAGCTGTGCATTGAATTCATAAATTTATACAAATAATCAACACATTGAATCCCATAATGGCATAAATGTATTCATGATCTATGTATACATTTATACATAGATAATGACTTAATAAAAAAAATGACTTAATAAAAAACAAATGACTTAATAATAAAAAAATATTTACAGTAAGAGGCCAGGCATGGTGACTTATACCTGCAATCCTAGCATTTTGGGAGGCTGAGATAGGAGGATCACATGAGGCCTCAAGTTTAAGACCAGCCTGGGCAACATAGCTAAACCAGTCTCTACTAAAATAAAAAATAAAAAAATCAGGTCAGTATGGAAACATTTGTCTCTAGTCCCTGCTACTTGGGAGGCTGAGGTGAGAGGACTGGTTGAGTCTAGGGGTTGCAGGTTACAGTGAACTATGATTACATCACTATTCGAGCCTGGGCAATAGAGCAAGACCCCATCTTTAAAAAAAAAAAGTATTTACAGTGTTCGAGTGAAGGAGCCCTGCAGTCAGACCACTTGGACTCAAATCCCTGATCTAGGCTTTATTAGTTGGGAAGTTACTTGCCTTTTCTGTGCCTTAGAATTTATCTCATAAAATGATGAGGATTAGATGTAACCACATTGTAAAGGGTCTCCAGTTGGCATTCATTTTAAATAGACACTTCTGTAAATACTTTTTACATGGTATTGGAGATACCCCAAGTCCCTGCTAGCATAAGAGGTCACAGTAGAAACTGATTCTAAAAATCTCATGTCTGTGACTCACTCATTCTATTGTAGAAATGGGCCCTCAGACTCACGGCCCACTTTGTTCTCATCTAAGTATCTATAGCAAAAGCCTCCAGGCATCTTGCAGCAAAGCCGCCCAGCTGCAAAGATGCCCTCTTTCTTTTCACTTGCCAGGAGCTGTTATATAATCAGGGCAGACTCAGTGAGTGTAGCTGTGAGCCTTTCAAAGATTTAACATAAGAAATACACCGATCACAATGAGAACTCTGGAGCGGAGAGGAAGTTCTAACACAAGCATGAAGAGGCCTTTCACAGTCAATTGGAACATTTCAGCTCACGACCCTGAAAGGCTGGCTGTCCTCAGAAGCTCAGACTTTGGTGCCAGATGCCTGCCGGAAGGTGCTGGCAGGAGCAGTCAGCAGCCCCTTGTCCAGAACTGCCTGCTTTTTAATTCCAGTCTGTTTTCATATATTAACACATCTTGTTTAGAGCGTAACATTCTATAAACCTTCCCATTAGAAATGTCATGTGAAAGCAACCAAGACACCCGGGGGCCAGCCATATGCCCACCTGTTTTGTTATTCTGCATTCAATAACAAGCTGTTAAGTCTCCATCTAGTGGCTAGACATCCCAAGAAGTAAAAATAAAAGAAGTGTCTGACTACTTGGAGTACAACAATACATAATAAGCATGGTAGGTGTTTTTGGCAAAAACCAACGTGGTGGCTGTTTGCCTCCCTACTCACTCACCCCTTCAATCTGGCCTGAGTTTAACTGTCCACTGGCTAGGGCATTATAAAGTTCCATTTCACAGGTCTCAGGACCCATGTGTTACTCTGGGGGCTTGCTCTGTCAGGAAGGGTTTCCCAGGAGCTCAGTCTTCTTTTTTTGTGAGATAATTCTATTCATCACTATTCATCATTGTCAAGGACTCACCAATTGTTGCCACACTTCCCTTAGTTCCCAATGGGACTTACTAAGAACCACTCTCAGCCCAGTGTCCCCGGCTTTGCTGTTTTCCATTTACTAAAGTCATTCTCAGTTCTTTAAATTCTCACCCATAATAGCAACATCTACATAGCACCAGAATCTGAGAAACAGGGCAAGGTGCATGCTCTGCACGTCCTTGGTCTAATTATGGTCTTGTAGCTTGTACCCTGGGATGCAGGAGAAAGTTTAGACTCAGTTCCCAAGGACAGTCACCACTGAAACAGCTTTTAGCAAGGGATCCCATTTTTCAACTTCACGCAAAGAGATACTCATTGGGCAAGTCTGGGTGATCTGCAGGCATTAGAAAGCTATGGTAAAATTCCCTGGAGTTCTGCTCCGGGCAGCCATAATGTGGGCACCCACAGAATGATCTGTAGCCCAGAGGAAGGTCCTCTCTGGAACCTCTAACACAGCCCTCCAACACCTAATCTTTTGCCTTCTGCAGTAACATCAGTGCACTACTCTTGGTGGAAGTGACATAAGGAGGAAGTAGGCTTCATGAACCCCAACGAGAGGGACACCCTCATCTTCTGTGACTATTTTCCAGGACTGTGTGACTTACTGGCTCTCCACCACACCTCTGTGCAGCTGGCTCACTGATCAATTGCCACTAACCCTAGATTACAGTGTCATACTTCTACCGCAAGGTGGCTCCTCAGCCCCAGCACTCTACTTCCTCTTCATGGCTATAGAGGGTGACAGGACATCTGGGGGTGGGGAGAGGCATTCTGCTAAGGGCTGAGTAGAAACTATTCCGTGTAGCAGTAACAGCTAGCCGTGCCAGGCACTGACTTAGGCACATTACAGACATGATTCACAACTTTCTTATGTCTCTGCAAGGTAGGTGCTGTAGTCTCTAAGCTATAGACAACAAAAGGTTAATTATCTAGTTAAAGTTCTTACAGCCTGTACATTGGAGAGCTGGGCTTCCAATCCAGCTTTGTCCAGCTCAAAGCCCAGGCCATGGTCTTCCCATCACAACCCACTGCTTCTGCATTATTTCAGTTTCCAGCAACCAAAATCTTTTTAGCTATCAGTGTGAATAACACAGACTGATTCCTCCAGGTTATGCAAGAAGTAGAACTAAGAAACAAACAAAAATTATGACTTATCTTTATTTATTTAGCTGGTCTTTTTATTCTGTAATGTAAAACCTTCCCATTTTTTAAGGGGGCCCCCTAACATTTACAAATCGCTGTGATTTCCGCTTATGTAACGACTGTCAACGGTACGTTCATTCTGGAACCAACTGCACTCATGTCCACCAGGGGTTGCTGTGCTGAAGCAGCTGTGTACCCATGTAGAGCCCATGCCCGCATCCTGCATTACAATCATGTCCACCAGGGGTTGCTGTGCTGAAGCAGCTGTGTACCCATGTACAGCCCATGCCCGCATCTTGCATTACAATCATGTCCACCAGGGGTTGCTGTGCTGAAGCAGCTGTGTACCCATGTACAGCCCATGCCCGCATCCTGCATTGCAAACTCCTGCCACATGAATGCACATATCCCTACTTGTTATAAGGTTTGGCTGAGTCATGTGCAAATGTGCTTCTTCTAGTTGGACAGGCTTGCTGTGACAGTCATTGTATAGGGCTTCAAACTTAATAATGTTCATGCTCTCTCTTTTTTTCTTTTATTTATTTTTTTATTGAGACAGAGTCTCACTTTGCAGCTATGGTGTCCTAGCTCACAGCAACCTCCAACTCTTGGGCTTAGGTGATTCTCTGGCCTCAGCCTCTGAAGTAGGTGGGACTACAGGCGCCTGCCACAACACCTAGCTATTTTTTGTAGAGACAGGGCCTCACTCTGGCTCAGGATGGTCTGGAACTCCTGAGCTCAGGGCGATCCACCCACATCGGCCTCCCAGAGTGCTAGAATTACAGACGTGAGCCACCAAGCCCAGTTCTGAACTCCTAGAAACATTATGAAACATGAAAAGCAGGATATTTCTAAATATTCTTTGAGTTTGTTCAAAGCAAGATGAATTTAAAATACGAGATCATAGTTTGCAATGTGAGTCTCATAAAAATACTGCCTCTTATGAGAATATTTCGTAAGTTAAATAAAACTGGGTTTCTGTTTGGCCCTTAGGTCTAGAAGACTCCCTGAAAGTCTATGCCTAATGAAGAGAAATTCCATCACGACAAAGGAAGCTCTCTTTGCCTGTTCCTCTGTACTCATCCTTTTTTGCAGGGTGCCCACTACCGGAAGCCTTTGGCCCGCCAAGGAAACCAGTTTCCCACGGTAACTGGAGACAGGCCTCCAGGTAATTTCATGATACATACCAAGACTGACAGCAACTTCATCGAGGGAGATGGTAGTTTTCTCAGTCGACAAAGGATAACTTGGATAGCGAGCTAGAAACTTCTGGCACAGGAGGCCTAAACTTTTCTGTTTCCTGCTTGGCCTCTGCTTTTCAAATTCGTCCACAGTGCTGTCCCCAACAACATCGAGCTACAGAGGGCAGAGAGAAGGGAGAGGAAGACGTCACGGCTGACATCCTAATGGACAAATTCCAACAGCTGGTATTGGCAAACTGAGGGGAAACATATTTTCTAATCTAATTTTCTACATATTTTACCTGTTGCCTTGTCTGGACTGAATTTTTTCTCCTTTGTAATTTGAGAAACTGATTCCATTAGTTAAACTTTTTTTTTTTAAATGCAGTTATTTCTAAGTAGCTACACCTTTGCTACTAGTGTGCTGTGCTCACTGGACCCATGAAATCAGCATTGCCAGAAGCTGATTAAAGACAGAATCTCAGGCCTCATCCCAGACCTACTGTATCAGAATCTGCCTTGTCGGAAGATTCTGGGTGATTCCTCTTGACATGAAGGTTTGAGATGCGCTGGCCTGCATCCTGTCTCCAAATTGTTTTACATTTTACAATTAACCAAAGGTTGATGAAACTGAACTAGAGCAGTTAAATCTTATTCTCTCTTATTCATGGAACTAGCATCCTGGTCTCATCAACCCATATTTGAAAGGGGCTCCGTTCAAGCTCCAAGAAAGTAAAAAGCTTTTCTGAATAGATTTACAAAAAAGCATTTATAAATTTTACACTCATTCATGATTTTCAAAAATGCTCTTAGAAAACTAGGAATAAGAGAGAACTTTTTCCATGAGGTATATTCATGAAAATACAACAGTGAACATTTGTCTTAATGATTTGAAAACCTTGGAGGCTTTCCTGTAAAATCAGGAAAATGACAAGGAAGTCCATGATCAATTCTCCTCTTCTATATCAAATTAGAGACCCTAATCAATGCATAAGGACAAGGAAAAGAAATTGAGGCCCAGGCATCGGAAAGGAATAAACAAAACTTCATTCTGCAGAAGATATATGATTTTTCACATAAAAGCCTTAAGAGAATCTGAGAAGTTATTAAAAATGATAAGAGAATTTAGAAAGGTGGTTGATTACAAGACCTTCTATTTCTAAAAACCAGCTGCATCCCTATACAATAATAACAGCAAATGAATCCAAAAGAGGACATTCACAACAGTAACCAGAATGAAAAAGTTGCTAGGAATAAATATTGCAAAATCTATTTGCATAAAATTGTAAAACTTAGATTTTAAAGAATATTTAAAACTTAGATATACTATCTTTATAGAAAGACTCAGTATCATAAAGAGGTTAATTCTTCTCAAATTAATCTATAGATTCAATGAAATTAAACTTACCAATTTAAAGTATATATATATATATATATATGGAAGAACAGAGAGCCAAGGACAGCCCACATACTCAAGAAAAGTAAGTTGAGGGTCCTACTTTACCTGACATGAAAGTGTATTACAATAGAGTACTGGAGTAGGGATGAACAAATTGGCCAACGGTACAGGAAATAGTCCTGAAACACACACATATAAATGGAATTTTGACATATTAAAGGGGTAGCAGCTTTGTCAACCGGGAGGAAGAGGAAGAACTGAATAAATGGTGCAGGGATAACTGATCATCCATATAGAAAAACAAAGACCTATTCTCGACTCACGCCATACATAAAGCAAATTTTAAATGAAGAAAATAATTTTCTAACCTTGGGATAGGGAAAGATTTCTTTAAATAGACACAAAAAACATTACCCTTAAAAGAAAGAATATATACACTGGACTATGTTAAACTTAAGAACTTCTGGCCATCAAAAGGAAACAGAGGAAAGAGAAAGAAAAAACAATCACCAAAGTGAAAGAATATGTACACGACATATATAACTGACAAAGACAAGAATATATAATACAGTCTCCACTGCTATTCAACATAGTAATGGAAGTCTTATCCCTCACAATCAGCAAGAGAAGGCGATCACGGGTATCCAAATAGGGTCAGAGGAGATCAAACTCTCACTCTTCACTGATGATAAGATCTTATACCTAGAAAATCCCAGAGACTCAACTTCAAAACTCTTATAAGTGATCAAGGAATACAGCAGCATCTCAGGCTATAAAATCAATACTTACAAGTTGGTACGTTTTATATATGCCAGCAATAGTCAAATATAGTCAAGGACTCTATTCCTTTTACAATAGTGCCAAAGAAGATGAAATATCTGGGAATTTACCTAACAAAGAATGTGAAAGATCTCTATAAAGAGAACTATGAAACTCTGAGAAAAGAAATAGCTGAAGATGTTAACAAATGGAAAAACATACCATGCTCATGGCTGGAATTGTTAAAATGTCCATACTACCCAAAGCAATCTACAGATTTAATGCAATCCCTATTAAAACACCATTGTCATACTTTAAAGTACTTGAAAAAACAGTACTTTGTTTTCTACGGAATCAGAAAAAACCCTGAATATCAAATACATTACTCAGAAATAAGAATAAATCAGGAGGTATCACATTACCAGACTTCAGGCTATACTATAAATCTATACTGATCAAAACAGCATGGTACTGGCACAAAAACAGAGCGGTCGATTTATGAAACAGAATAGAGAACCAAGAGATGAACCCAGCTACTTATCATCATTTGATCTTCAATAAACCTATCAAAACATTCAGTGGGGAAAAGACTCCCTATTTAACAAATGGTGCTGGGTGAACTGGCTGGTGACCTGTAGAAGACTGAAACTGGACCCCCACCTTTCACCATTAACAAAAATTGATTCTCACTGGATAAAAGATTTAAACTTAAGACATGAAACTATAAAAGTACTACAAGAGAGTGCAGGGAAAACACTTGAAGATATTGGCCTGGGAGAATATTTCATGAGGAGGACACCTCCGGGCAATTGAAGCAACACCAAAATCCATTACTGGGATCTGATCAAACTAAAAAGCTTTTGCACAGCCAAGAGCACAGTAAGGAAAAAAAAAAAACAGACAGCCTTCAGAATGGGAGAAGATTTTTGCAGGTTATGCTTCTGACAAAGCTCTAATAACTAGAATCTACAAAGAACTCAAACTAATCAATAAGAAAAGAATAAGTAACCCCAATTCTATGTGGGCAAGAGACTTGAACAGAAACTTTTCTGATGAAAACAAGCATATGGCCTACAAACATGTGAAAAAATGTTCATCATCCTTAACCATCAGAGAAATGCAAATCAAAACCACTTTGAGAAATCATCTAACTCCAGTAAGAGTAGCCCACATCACAAAATCCCAAAACTTCAGATCTTGGCGTGGATGTGGAGAAAAGGGAACACTTCTACACTGCTGGTGGGCATGCAAGCTAATACAGTCTTTTCAGAAAGAAGTTTGGAGAACACTCAAGGAACTAAAAGTAGCCCTACCATTCAATCCTGCAATTCCTCTACTAGGTATATACCCAGATGATCAAAAATTATTTTACAACAAAGACATTTGCACCAGAATGTTTATTGCAGCCCAATTCATAATAGCTAAGACATGGAAACAGCCCAAGTGCCCATCGACCCATGAATGGATTAACAAATTGTGGTATATTACACCATGGAATACTATGCAGCCATAAAAAAGATGGGGACTTCACATCTTTTATGTTCACCTGTATGGAGCTGGAACATATTCTTCTTAGTAAAGTATCTCAAGAATGGTAAAAAATTGTTCAATGTACTCAATACGACAATGAAATCAATATATAACCACCTACATACTCATATGAATGGCAAAACATAACTATAGTCCAGAAAGTAGAAGGGAAGAGGAGAGAGAGCGGAGGGGAGGGGGGATATGGGAAAAGGGAGAATATTTGGGGGGATCTCACCTAATGTGCATGATGCAATGTACATTTCAAAACTATTCAGAAATGAGTATAATTGTGATGGATGTGTGACTTAGTTCAGTGTAAACACTTCACATTGTATATCGAAGCAGTACCCTGAGCCCCATAAATGCATCAATGTACAAAGTTATGATTTAATAAAAAATAACAATAAAGAATATATGATATAATCAACTCCAAGAAATCAGTATAAAAAATTAACAACCCAATGAAAATTGGTGAAGAACACGAAGAGGCATTGCACCGAAGGGGGGAAAACAGGACGGGCAGTGGACAGGTGGGAGGAGGCTTCGCCTCCCGAGCACCCGGGAAAAGTGAACAAATACCACACAGAGATATAAATTGTATTTCCACTAGATTGGCAGAGACTAATAAATTTAATAATTTCAAGTGTCAGGGAAACGTGGATGTACAGATGTTTCTACACTATGGTAGAAGGACCCAGGACTTGAGGAAGCAGTCTGGCATTACCCTGTGACCAACTGCACAGCCAATGAGCCGGCAATTCTACAAAGCACAGGCCCTAAAACAGTACTGTGCTTCGAAGCTTTTTGCTCACAGGATCCCTTTTATTCTTAAAAACGACAGAGGACTGCACAGAGCTCTTTGTTTATGTAGGTTTTATCTACCGACGGTCACTGCACTGTTATGATTTAATAAAAAAATGAAGAGGAAAAAAATAAAATGACCAGAGAAGTGGCAGAAAACCAAAAAAAAAAGAAAGAAAAAGAAATTAAAAGTGAGATGGTTAATGTGTTTTGTGAGAAAAGAGTCAGCATTTTAGACATTTTCTTTTTTTTTTTTTTTTGAGACAGAGTCTCAAGGGGTGGCCCCCGATAGAGTGCTGTGGCCTCACAGCTCACAGCAACCTCAAACTCCTGGGCTGAAGCGATTTTCCTGCCTCAGCCTCCCGAGTAGCTGGGACCACAGGCGCCCACCACAATGCCTGGCTGTTTTTGGTTGCAGCTGTCATTGTTGTTCAGCAGGCCTGGGCTGGATTCAAACCCGCCAGCTCCGGTGTATGTGGCTGGCACCCTAGCCACTGAGCTACAGGTGCCAAGTCTGTTTTAGACATTTTTAAACAATCTTTTTAAGTGTCTGGATTAACAGAGGAGAACCGCATTCTTCTGTTTGTTTCTGTATTCCATCTGTTCCGACATCTACCGCATACACCTCCTGGAAGACGGCAGTAGGTGATTACGAAAGATGAGCGAGCTCAAATCGCAAATGCCTCAGCATTATAAAAGTAATGTTGACCTCTTCGACCTTCTGAAAGATTCTCTGTGGACAGGCAGTCCCCAGATCCCAGTGTAAGAACCACTGACCTAGGGAACTCTCGTACCTGGACACCAGGAGACAGAAACAAGAATATCCTAGCAGCGTAGTTCCTATTAGCCCTACACTGCAAATAACTCAGACAGGAAAACAGATGAATTGTGTGTTCATATGATGGAATGTCTTGCAGCTACGAAAAATGAAAGACTGTACAGCTACATGCAAAAAGACAGACAGATCTTAAGGATGGATGTTGACTGAGAAAAAGCACATCCAGGATGATTGTATACCACATACGGTTTCAATTTTACAAAGCCTGAAACCAACCAAGAAAACCTAAGCAGTACACGAGACAGGAACATGATAAATACAAATTTAGGGGCGCTGTTACTCTGTGGAGAAGGCAGATGTAAATTAACAGCAATGTTCTGGGCTCCGGGCCTGTAGCTTAAGCGGCTAGAGCGCCAGCCACATACACCAGAGCTGGTGGGTTTGAATCCAGCTTGGGCCTGCCAAACAACAATGACAACTCAACCAAAACATAGCCGGGCGGTGTCGTGGGCGCCAGGAGTCCCAGCTACTTAAGAGGCTGAGGCAAGAGAATTGCTTAAGCCCAGGAGTTGGAGGTTGCTGTGAGCTGTGATGCCATGGCACTCTGCTCAGGGCAACAGCTTGAGGCTCTGTCTCAAAACAAAACAAAACAAAAATGGCAATGTTCTGGGCTTTGGGCTTAGAGGTAGATTGTACAGGATAAGTATATTTTATTGATCAAACAGTGTATCTAATGGCAATAAAGGCCACTTTTAAAAAGACATTAAATGCCTGTTGTATAGACATTTTAATTTTAGGCATTTATTTCTAAGTAATGACAGATGAGTTAAAATCTCCTCATAAAGCCTGGGTACAAAAATCAAAGATTTAATTGTTTTAGGGGCATGTTAAACAACTAGTCCTACCAAAGGAAGCTATCGATGATGTCATCTTGTGAAAGAGGTCAGTAACAATCTCTATTGTGTGCTATATTTTTGTCACTTAAAAAAAAAATAAGCCTAAAAGAATTAGCTTTGGAGTCCTAACAACAAAAACAGAACAAAACCTAATATTTATGACAGCATGTGCTTTTGACAGCAAAAAGCACACTTGATTGTATTTCGTTTTTTAGAGCACCACCTACTCAAGCCAGGTGACCTCCATTTTATAGATGAGAAACTAAGATACAGAGACCCTGAGTGATTTTCCCCAGCCACCCAGCTAGGGATGTGAACCCAAGCTCCTGTGCCTTCCACATTAAATATAAAATGGAAAGGAAGCCGAAGAATAACTCAGACTTAAAAAAAGAATTCTCCAGTTTTTCTCTCTTTGAGCATGTAACACCTCACGTGATTTGTATTTAGTCACATCAAAGGATCTGTAAGTTCTACCACTCCACGGACATGTACAGCCAATTAAATTTATTTTGCTCTAGCACTTTCAAGGTATGATTCAGGACACCTTCTCCCCTCCCAATTTCCTAATTTTGGCAATTTCTCTAGCTTAAAAAAATTCACCAAAATGAGAAAAAAATCCTAAGAACATGTAAATCTGCAAGAAACTTTTCTTAGCAAGTGTAGGAAAAAGTTTAATGAAACAGTGAAAATCACTGACCATTGTGTTTTCTCTTTTCTTTCAGAGACAGAGTCTCACTTTATTGCCTTCGATAGAGTGCTGTGATGTCACAGCTCACAGCAACTTCCAGCTCCTGTGCTTAGGCAATTCTCTTGCCTCAGCCTCCTGAGTAGCTGGGATTACAGACGCCCGCCACAACGCCCAGTTATTTTATTGTTGCAGTTTGGCCGGGGCCAGGTTTGAAGGCGCCACCCTCAGCATATGGGGCCGGCGTCCCACCCACTGAGCCACAGGCACCACCCAACCATTGAGTTTTTTAAAAAGTATTGACACACTGCTTATTCAACAGCTCGGGTTCTCCACAGGGCAGGGGATTAAAGATGGCTTAACATCAACAAAGCCCAAGGCCAGCACACTGAGCACATGTGAGAATAATGGAATTTCCCAAGTCAAAAATATTTAGATTAATATCATCTTTAAAAAATGAACAAAATTAAAATTTACAGCAACATTTAAAAAAAAACCAAATTCCTTCAGTAAATCAAAATTACAAAATATCATTACTTTAAAAATATTTTATCTGGAACTGCAAACTAATATAGCCTCTTTGGAAAGAAGTATAGAGATTCCTCAAAGAACTCAAATTAGACCTCCCATTTAACCCCACCATCCCTCTACTAGGCATCTACCCAGAAGAAGAAAAAAATCATTTTAGTATAAGGACATGTGCAGCTCAATTTATAATTGCAAGACCTGGAAACAGCCTAAATGCCCATCAACTCAGGAATGGATTAACAAATTGTGGTACATGCACACCATGGAATACTATTCAGCCATAAAAAGATGGTGACTTTACATTCTTCCTAGTAAAGTATCTCAAGACTGGAAAAGAATTATCCAATGTACTCAGCACCAATATGAAGCCAGCAGATGATCTAACTAACGCGTGCCTACACAGGAGAAAAACGCATTTCACTTCAAGTTGTGGGGAGGGGTCACACAGGAGGGGGTGGAGGTTGGGGTGCTCTTCCTGAACAGGCACAGGGTGGGGGTGTTTGCAAACTTTTTGTGTGTGGGACATGACCACAAGACAAAATCAAGTATTTTGACCTGGTTGTTTGTACCCTCACATTAACCTGAAATAAATATACTTTAAAAAATATATATTTTTTATTATTTTTAAAAGTGTTCTGGACCAGGGAGTATTATACAGAAGAAAAGAAGAGCATGTGTCATAAAAAACAGAACAGAGCAAGAATCTGCCATAAATAAAAAGACAGCCAGTTTAACAGGAGATGAGATATTGAGAACTTTTAATAATCTGGTAAAATGTGTTAGGTTCTATGAAAGCTTTGAGGAGCACAGCCTGCTTACCTGTAGCGAGTCTGTAAACGCGTCATCCTTGTTTTCAATGGGTCTGAAGAGTCCCTTCTTCTTCTCCCGGTCCCTGATGTCTGGGCTGGCAGCGCTAATGAGCATCTTCAGGTTGGCTGTGGGTGTCCACGGCTCTGCCTGCTGTCTGTCCACATGCTTAACTGGAGTGATGGGATTTCTCTCCGGACTGAAGATTTTTTGCTTCGATAAATCAATTGGTTCATTTTTTATTGGCGTCTTTGGGGCCATCCTCAATCGATCAATAAATATATTTTCCTGTTGAAAAGAAGGGACCTTTTAGCAAGAATGAGAAAGGGTAGATAGCAGCTAAGAGCATGCTTTGTTCCCACCATTCACTAAGACTTGAAAATGCAAATGGGACCATATGCTTAGGGTTGAATAGCATCAGGACGGGACTCATGAAAAATCAGACAGACGGCTTCCTGGCAATCACAGGGCGCTTCCACTGAGAAATAGATCATAGTCTACTTCAGCATCCTCCCTTTAAACACACTTGTGGTGGCATCTCTGTGGGAGAAGTCAAGGAACATCCCCGTCACTGGTGTTCGCGGAGGGCCAACACAGGTTGAAAACACATTGTTCTAAGTGCCACCTTTTTAAAAACACTATTTACAAGCTTGCGTTCACCAGTGAAGGGCACTCATGCTTTTGTAGTTCAGTGTTCACTAATGCTAACACAGCAACGAGTAGCAAGACTAGTTAGGGGAAGAATATCTAACACCACAGCACGTTTTAAGCCGGCCTAGGCAGCCAGGCTGTCTAATATTCTCTGGGAGCAGCGCTTCTCCCACATGCTAATGTGGGATCTGACTTCCCAGGACTCATGGGCAACTCCCACCAGATGTGATTTTGAGTTTGTCACTCAAACTGGCTTGTTCAACAAAAGCCCACTGATCCAGGGCTTAGGTGTCCTGGTGGCAGTATCCTATTGCTATGGAGGTTTCTAAGTGCTTAACTCCCACGTTCTGTTAATTTTTTGCAACCTGGTGATAGTCTGTGGGAAAGCAGTTGTCCTCAGAACACCACTCCTGAATATATATGATCTCCCATTGTTGTAAGAAAAGATTAACAATGGCTCCATTATGAAAAAGGACTAAGTACATAGGACCCAATTGAGAACTAGCAAGAATTTAAAACAGATTCCCCTAAAATAAATTTCAAAATACTCAACAACAGAATTCAGACTAAGAGGATTCAGTAATTCAGTGTTCAAGAAAAAAAAGATTCTGCTTTTCCTGTCGCACTCCCCTCCAGCCAGCAGTGTCTTACACACCTGTGCAGGTGGCTGAGTTCAGCATCTGTCACCCTCTTTTCTGTACACATATCACAATGGAGCTACTGCAGCCGCAGATTTTGGCTGAGTAGCGATTTACAGAAGGTACTTTCCTTTAAGTGAGCGACACGTGAAGAGGTAACAGATTGTTTGGGAGGAACTAGAGTTTGTGTGAGCAGAGCTAATCTTGTTGCTTGGATCAGCAACAAGAGGCTTACAGCAGAGGCTATAAGCCAGTCATGGCAACGTTCTGTCCCAGCAAAATAGGAAGGAAGTGCCGGGGGTGGGGATTCCTCACGCCACAGCTGTAGTGAGCACCGAGCCCAGAGCGTGGCATCCACCCACCTCCTTTAACAAGTCCCTGCTGGCACACCATTCTGGCAAAGGCTTCCTTCCAAAAAGGGAACTCTCAAGGGAAATTACCAAGTGTTTACTACAGGCCATGCCCTGTTTCGTGTCCTTGCTATGGACTAATTCCTCCTCCAATCCTGTCATACAAGTCATTGTTTTCCCAGTTTACAGAAGAAGAAACTGAGGCACGGAGAGGTCATATAACTTGCCTAAGGTCATATCCCACCTCATTCAGTGTAAAATCATTGGTGTAAGTAAAAAAAAGCTGAAGGCAGATGTTTCTGAAATTCCACATTTAAAAATGAACTTCTCAGGCTGGGCATGGTGGCTCATGCCTGTAATCCTAGCACTTTGGGAAGCCAAGGTAGGTGGACTGCTTGAGCTCAGTAGTTCAAGACCAGTCAGAGCAAGAAGAGTGAGACCCTATCTCTACAAAAAAGTAAAACAAACAAACCAAAAAAAAACAAAAAAAACAAAAAAAACAAAAACCAAAAGTAGCTGGGCATCATGGCAGGTGCTTGTAGTCCCAGCTACTCAGGAGGCTAAGACAAGATCACTCCTACAGCACTCTATCCTGTGTGACATTGAGGTTCTGTCTCAAAACAAAAATAAAAACAAAACAACAACAAAAAAATGAACCTCTCCTGGAGGAAGTTACTTTTTCACAGTTCCAACCAAAGGTACTAGATGGCCATGGTCGCTCATCAGCGTTTAGGAAGAGGAAGCAGTTATCCACACAGGCCCTGGGGCCAGCCACCTGCCTCTGCAATTTATCAGCAGTGAGTGTGGCGTGTAGCAAGTACCTCACTATACTTTTTTCTCTCAACTGAAAATGAAGTTCATAAAATGCCCACCTTGAGGATTATGAGAATAGGTCCTTGGCCTGTAGTAAGTGCTCAATAAAACTTTGCTATTTTCTTTCCAGTCTTTCCCGTTCTTTGTTACCTTCACTCTGGCTCTTTGAGCCAATATTCTACACTGGACAGTGCTGCTATTCAACTTGTGGGATGCGTGTCTTATCTCAATGAGACTCAAGAGGCCAGGCAGTAAGTTTCACAGGTGTCATTCATCCCAATTTTTGGCACAATGCCTTGCCTAGTCCATGTGTGCCAAGATACCTTAATTATCCCCTTATTCCAAAAGGTGCCCTCATGGCAGAGGGTGTGGGCCAGGTATGCTGCATGAGCAGAGATCTACTTGCCTTCTCTGTGCTTCCACATACTGCCCTCATGGGAATGAGGAGTTCCTACTTTTCCCAGAGAGAGGGAAAACTCAGAATGATGATTTTATTCATATACTCTGACCTGTTCACTGCAGTTTTATGAATAAAGTAGCAGGGGAGTTAGGTCACATGGTAGGTTACGATCATATTACACCTCTACATCGAGAGAAAAAAATGCCAAGCAAATTGTTTTCTAAGGTCTCAGGTGGGCAGAAAGTCAACTGCAAGCTGGCCATATCCTGCTCCATCTGTCTGACATTTATAGAGAAGTGGTGAGGGGACTGGAATGGGAATTTGTAAACCTGATTTTCATCTCAGTTCTGTTTGTAACTTTCTGATCCTGCCTGAATTGTTCACTCAGTCTGAGCCCAAGTTTCCATATGCATAAAATAAAGGATTCATACTAAAGTATCCACCCATAAGATTTTTTAGCAAGGCTTCCCAGCTGTGTAGTGGACACTGGGATGCACCCAGATCGCCTTGGAGATGAATGACTCATTCCCCCAGGAAGTAATGCCAACATTAAAGTCTTAACTGGATTGGAAGAGAGCTGAGTCATCGAGGATCATACTCCTTCCTGGGAGGCCTATCCAGTACTCATAACTAACAGAACTGGCCACTAATATGTAAAATCCTGGCCTCCTTGCTCCAACAAGGCGTCATTCTAGAATTCCCCATAGAGTAACTCAGACCTATGGGTCCCTGAAAGTCTTTTTGGTAACAAAGGGCAGGGCCTGCATCAAACTCATTTTCAGGTAATCAGTTTGATTCAATAGCGTGAAGAGTATGTGCTGATGGGTGCTTTGCAAAAACCCAGCAGGGGAAGTACTATATATTGACTCCAATTAATGGGGGGGAAATCATTTCAAAGATTGATTGAAAAGTGGGTATAATCATTTCAAAGATGGTACCCACTTTCCCAATCTCTTTTGCATCATTTGAGTTTTTCTCTACACCCATTAAAATGTGGATGTTCAATCGGACACAGCACTTACTCATGCTAGAGAAGGATCCTGTTGAAGGCACTTGACCCAGAAGTTCAGAAGTAGAAGACTGACTTAGACTTAATAGAAATGTGCATTTATACATTTTTTCAAGGCTTAGCTAAATGGAAAAGGCATTGCATTCGTGAGTAGAAAACATGAACCAAAACCTGTTCCAACTGACAGCAGCAGGGTTCACTACTATGCACTGGGCATCTTGGAATGTATCCCCTGTGGAAAGGGGGACTACTTCTGTACTTCTTTTCCTAACAAAAATAAATCAAAATGCTAAACAAACAACAACAAAAACCCTACATGGAAAAGCATGCAATTTCCCACCTATCCAACATTAATAACTGTCAAGTATTCTTCAAGGCCCACGTAACAGGTGCATTACTACCAGGCAGTTCCATTGATGCCTTAAAGCAGGGGTCCTCAAACTTTAAACAGGGCGCCAGTTCACTGTCCCTCAGACCACTGGAGGGCTGGACTGTGGGCCCCAGGACAAGTCGGCTGCTAAGCAGGACAGGCAGTGCCCATCAGATAAATGTCCTAGGTGGGCCACTTGTGGCCTGCGGGCCGTAGTTTGAGGACACTTGCCTTAAAGTAAGACCTATAGAAGAGAAGAGCCCCTGGGAGTTCAGTGCCTAAGAAGGTTGCTATTCACAGGTTGATAACCCAAATTTCTAAAACTGGATTTGTTCCATCTATTTGCCTCTACTTAAAAATACTCAGATAGACTTTAGACATTGTTACAGTTTTACTTTGTAATGTTGAAGATACCACCTGAGTCTTACAAATCACAAGTGGTGCACAAAGGGAGGGAATGGCTCAGAAGCTTCAGGGAAATGCTATCAGCAGCACTGATCACTGGTGGGCTGAGTCACTTTATCTCCCCGGATGGAAGGCACAGTCATGCTCTGCGGTGAATGGAATAGCTTCTAGAAGCTGGTTCATTGATATGAAGACATTTCACAGCACTTTAATAATCCAGCATTTATAACTATAAAAGTCTATTTTTCTGAGAACTGAGGCTTAACATTCCTACAGAGCATTAGCTGGACCACCCTTGACAACTGTATTACAAACTTGTGACTGCTGTGTCCAGCATAATATCTCTGATTTACATAACTGGTTCCAACATTACACTTAACCTGGTTTCTTTTTCCACAGCACAATGACTGACCATACAGTTGCAACAATAATGATGTGGATGGCTCCATTTTAAAAAAGTACGTTTCCACAATATTCATCGAAATTAATTATGATGTTTATAAAACAAATACAAGTGGCATGTTGGAACACTTAATTGGATTAGACCTCACCATCCTATGCGTGCTTACCTTTTGTGCATGTTCTCCATCTTCAATTGCAAAATCCCTGGGCTGCCTGGGGTTGATCAGATCTTTTAGTGTTAAGCAATTTACCTCCATCTGTAACGTAAAATTAGTTAGAAAATTATCTTATAACTAGATATCTTTTTCGTCCAACAAAATATCTATGTATTTATTACTAGTTTGTGAACATGAACTTCCCCTTCCCTAAATTCGTTCTGGGAATTTCCAGGAGTGTAGACACCTTCCAACCTTCTCTGAAACTCACATGGACAAACATCTAAAGTGTGCTTAGCAATTACTGAAATTCTAGGAAAAAAATAAAATCAACAAAGATAGTAATTCTTTATTAAAAAAAAAACACAACAGCAATAAGACAAAATAAAGTTACAAATCAGGAGGGTGTGGGGAAATCTGTCAGAAAAGTACAGGGTCTCCTAGGTCAGTTAATTTTGGCGCAAAGAACTGAGAGGAATTCGGCTTTGAGTGGGTTTGAATTGGAGGGGAAGGAAACCTGATCGCTAGACCAAACCCGCTGAGAGCTTAGCACGGCCCCTTCTCTGGCCTCCAAGCAGACCCCCAAAATAAACTCTTTCAATGAGGCCCCCAAATCGTGGGTAAGGTTAAGTCCTCTCTACTGCCCGGCTGCAAGGTGAGCTGGACCCGGCACAGCCCTCACGCTCCCAGGGCAGCGACTAAAACATCTTGATCTCCCGCCAGCCGGGAAAGCAGAGAGGTCACAGGCTGGCAGCAGGAGCGAGAGGGGTCCCTGCACCCCCAATTCCCGCCTCCCCACCATCGCCGGGGCTGCACGCTTACTTACTCCCGCTTTGCGCGGGAGGCTTCCCGCCTCCATCCGGATCTCCGCCGCCCCACACCGATGCGGGAAGGGGGTGCGGTGATCAGCAGCTGGGCGGCGACATCGGGAACCCTGCGCCAAGTGCCCTGTGCTGGCGGGGACCAGGGAGCGTCCGGGTAGTGCCGCGCTCCAAACCCCAGAGCGCGACTCCAGCCTGGATCCCAGTCCCCGCTAAAACACCTCCTCTGGCGCCTTGAGACTGAATTTGAGAATCCACCAATCAGCAGCAGCCGGCGGGGCGGCCCCGGCCAATCGCGCGGCAGCACGGCCCGGGCTCTCCGCCCCTCAGAGTCTTGGCGCTCTGGGCCGCGCGTTTCGCCCTCACCCGCCCAATTGTTGCGGCCTCGCCCCCCACCCCCCTTCCGGGTACCTGAAAACCTCGAGCCCGGGAGCCAATTCCTGCCGGGGAGTCGGGCCCGGGCGGCCGCGGGAAGGCAAGGTGGGGGCGGTGTGTGTGGGGGGAGGCAGCTGGAGAAAGTGGAGGAGAAGGGGAGAGCTCTTTTGTTATGCGCAAAAGACCCGCTCAGTTCCCCGCGGCTTGCAGCGCCGGGAGACCGCGGGCACAGCCGGGGAGGGGAAAGCAGATGGGGTTTGGAAAACGATCTTGGTCCTCTGGATGCTGCCGCCGCCACCCCTCCTTCCCCCGCCCCGCCCCGCCGGCAGCCTCCGCGGAGCAGAGTTGTCCAGACTTGCCGGGGCAAACCTCCTAACACCCAACGCCGGGGCGCCCCGCGAACCATGGTGACCGCGCTGCGCTGTGGGCAGATGGCACGCCGGTTAGACGCGAGCCCAAGCTGGTGTTTTTTGTTTCTTTAAACTTAACTTTTTTTTTTTTGTAAGTCCGGAAGTGTTTTTTGGCGTTCCCTTTTCGGAATATCGCAAATAATTAGAAAGGAAAAAGCCTTATTTTTTTTTAAAGTAATTCTGTGCAATGTGAATTGGCATTCATACTGCAGTCGAGAAAATTTCTTCAGCCTTACTGATTTGTATAAAATGTTTCACTTCCTGCAACTTTAGTTGCTTATTTAAAATACGAATATTGTTTAGAACACTTAGATTTACTGAAAAATGGAAAGATAATACAAAGAGTTCCCACATATCCGGCATCCTATTTCATCTCCATTAACATTTTATATTAGTTTAATACGTTTATGAAAATGAATGAACCAATATTAGTATTTTATTTTTAACAAAGTCATCTCTTTGTTCAAGTGTCCTTAATCTTTACCTAATGTCTTTTTTTCTGTTCCAGGCTACCGCATTACTTCTAATCTCCATATCTCCTTAGGTTTCTCACACTTTTCATCGTTTTTGATGACCTGGACAGTTTTGAGGAGTACTGGTCAGGCATGTAGGACCTCAGTTAGAATTTGAGACAGCTGTCTTTAAATCATGTCTACACACATTTCCCTACAAACCAGATACTTTACAGCAAGGGGATCATTCTTCTTATCCTTTATGTCCCAAGTTTCCCCTTTACATCCCATACCCTCCCAAATACATATGTTTGTGTGTGTGTGTGTGTGTGTGTATGTGTGTATATATATATTCAAAAGAACTCTTGGCAGAATTCAGAATATTCAATCAAGCCTTCCTCTTTGTGCTCTAGATTGCTGGTAAATACAGCCTAAAAATTACCACTAGGGCATGTGGTAAAAAGACAATAAAGCACCGAAAACTTTAAACGTAAGGAAAAGTAACAGTAAAAGCTTGACATTTTTACACTAGAAATAACATTTTGAACTGAAATCTATTTAGTAGCTGGATGCATAAAGAAAAGTAAAAAGAATAAGATTGTAATTTATTAAATTTTATACTTGGGGAAGCAAAAAAATTAGATGATAAAATTTTTTTAAAAACTGTATTAGTTTTCTGAAGCTGCTGTACCAAATTACCACAGACTGGCTGGTTTAAGAGAACAGAGATTTATTGTCTCAGAGTTCTGAGATGTCAAGGTGTCCACATGGCCATAACCCCTCGGGAACTCTTACAGGAGAGCCTGTCCTTTGCCCCCTCCAGCTTCTAGTAGCTGTTGGGAATCCTTGACTTGGGGCTGCCTCTGCCAAATCTCTGCCTCTGTGTCACACTGCTTTCTCTGTTGTCTGTTGACTCTCCCTTGTGTGTCTTTTATGAGGACACTTGTCATTGAATGTAAGTCCAACCTGGATAATCTAGGATGATCTTATCTCAAGATTCTTAATTTAATTACATCTGCCAAGACCCTTTTTCTAATAAAGTAAAGTTCCTTCATGAGTTCTGGGAATTAAGACAGGGGTATAACTTTGGGGGGGGCACAGTTAAGCCTTCTAGACTAGTAATTTTCAACCAGTGCTCTGTGGCACACTGGAGTTCTGGAAGATGATCTTAAATGTGCCTTGAAAAAGTTTAAAGATCATTAATTAAATTAGTTTTGAAAGAAGTTCAAAGCATATTCTTTTTTAACTCTTTTTGATTAACATAATTTAAGTGTGCCTTAACTAAACATTCAAGTGTGACATGAGAGTAAAAAAAAGGTTGAAAAAAACTTTAAATAATAATAATAATAAATAATAATAATAATAAATAATTTGAAACATTCAAATTATTAAAATTTATTAATTTATCTGACATGTTAAAATACTAGTGATTGTTGTAATCACAGACCTTTTCATGGCATTTTCAGGGTGAAAATACTTTTTCTAATCTGTTTTAGTACAAATGTAGCCTCTAATCAAATCAGGAAGAACTTAGTTAATAAGTAACTTCAAGCATTTGTAATTACATTGAATCAGAGTTATGTTAGATTTGGAGGAAAACTGAAATATGAATGTTTGATGGACAAATTCAGGGGCATCATTCCAACATACTATTTATATAATGCTTTCAAGACTCAGAATTCATAAAATAATCTTTCCATTCCAGTTATTCAGTTGATGGCTAACGTTGGCTGCAACCAGGCTGGGTCATTGAGTGGAGCCCCACGTGTAGTCTGACCACGTGACTGATCTTCCTTACAGCTTGGTAGCTCAAGAGAGTTGGATTTCTTCCACTGTGGCCACAGGGTCCAAAATAAGTGCTCCCTCAGGGTGGTACCTGTGGCTCCGTGAGTAGGGCACCAGCCTCCTATACCAGAGGTGGCAGGTTCAAACCCGACTGGCCAGAACCTGTAAAAAAAAAAACCAAAATAAGTGACCCACGTGGCAAAGAAAAAGTTGCATAACCTTCTGTAACACAGCCTAAGAACTAAGATTGCATCAGTTCTACCATATGTTTTTGAATGAAGCCCTCAAAAGCCTCGCTGTATTCAGGAGGAAGGGAGATACACCCCACCTCTCAATAGAAGAAGTGTCAAAGAATTTGAGGCCTAAATTTATTTATTTATTTGTTTATTTATTTATTTATTTATTGGGACAGAGTCTCACTTGGTCACCCTCAGTAGAGTGCCATGACTCACATCAACCTCAAACTCTTGGGTTCAAGAGATCTTCTTGCCTCAGCCTCCTAAGTAGCTGGGATTATAGGCACCTGGCTATTTTTTAGAGACAGGGTCTTGCTCTAGCTCAGGTTGGTCTCAAGCTCGTGAGTTTAGGCAATCCATCCTCCTCAACCTCCCAAGTGCTGGGATTACAGGCATTAGCTATTGTGCCTGGTCCTTGAGGCCTGATTTTAAAACTGCAAGGCACTGACTTTGGAACAGTACGATATAACCTATGTGAGAACAATCCCTAAAGTTCTATTTTGTGCTAAGCCTGTGGTTCTTAATCTTGTCTATGCTTTAGAAACATCAGGGGGAGATTTTTTTAAAAAGCCAATAGCTGACTCTCACACCCAGGGATTTCTAATTTACTTAATCTGGAATTGGAATTGAGTATCAAGTATTTGTTAAGTGCGTGGGGTCTTACTCCTTAGCATCATGTGAGTTGAATACTTTGTTCCTTGATTCCTTTGGATGCTTTAGAATTAATGGTTTCAGAAACGAGTCCTCAGGTCTCATCAGTGAGGGCAGGAGGAGCTGGGCAGTTTTACTGCCCACTGGAGTAGATACAGTGGTGTCAAGGATCTTGTTTCATGGCTATGTCAGTGGTTTTTGGCAGGAGTTGAGTTGTTAAATGAGAAATCTGATGGGAGATGTATCTGATCAAGGGCTGTGATCAGGAAAAGATACACAGATAACATTTAACATTCCTCTGTGCAAAAGACTCACTCCACAATTTCCCAAACCTGAGAATAGTTTTAGATCTCACAATTCATCACACTTTACAAAAATAAAAAAGGGGCACTCCTTTACAGAAAAACAACAAGCGAGATCAATCACCCTTCACTGAAAGTGTGTACTGTAGTGAAGTGCCATTCTTGGCCAATTCTAGGGCAAAATAGTCTGAATTGTCCAGTTAATGCCTCAACTTGCTCAAATATTTTCTTTTTCTTCCACTACTGCAAACACAATCATCTTCGTGTGGCATCTTTTTTCCAAAGTGCCATCACAAAAGGGAACTGGAAATTGAGTTTTCACCACACAGGTAACAGGGATCTTGGTGTCATAGCCTGGAAATTTCTCCAGTTTCATTAAGAGGATAGATATAACATCCTAAACTGAGGGCTTCCATTCAAAATGGACTTTGTCTTCAACCGTGCATGAGTCAGACAACGTGATCCATTTGCTTCTCTAACTGCTAGCAAGTTCAGGAAAGACAAAACATCTATTCTTGGCCAACCAGGAATATGCCAGAAGGAAAATGAGTTAATGATTGGTTCCTGCTTAGACCTTACTATCAGTAAAAAGAAGAAGATACAAAGGGCAGTTATGGCTCCCGTCTCAAATGATATCCAGATGTCCAGCTATTTAAAGGGAGGTGACTCAGCTGTGATTGTATGTCCCAGAGGAGACAGAAGGAATTCATTCTGTATCTTTTACAGACTCCTTGTGAACTATGCAGCAAGGTCCGTTTTCCCCATAGTCATGTGGTTTGCACTCTCACTAGATGAAAGATAGTATATTTGGCACGCCTGTATGTGTATGTGATAGCATATGTGATAGTACATACACATGACAGTATACCATGTGCGTGGCTGTGTTCATGTGTGTG